CCCAGAGATCCTCCTGCCTCAGCCTCCCATGTTCTGAGATTATAGGTGTGCATCACCATGCTCAACTTCACACACTTCTTAAATTATAAACCCATCATGCTATATTTATACCTATGTACATTTTTTTGGATCAAACCCAGGGCCTTTACATTGAGCTACATCCCTAGTCCTTTAAAATTTTTCATTTAAAAAAAAAAGTTTCTGTCAGTTTTAATATCACTCTGTTTTAAACCACTGTTTCTTCCTCTTCTGTGTTCTTACAGATTAAAATTCCATTACAGTAAATTCTGTGAAACAGCCACATTGCTTGCTACAATGAATTCTTGTTAAAAATTACATTATAGTAGTCCCCCATTATCCAAAATTTCAATTTCTGTGACTGTTACTTTCTATGGTTTCAGTTACCTGTGGGTCAACTGAAAATACTAAAAGTTCCAGAAGTTAACAATCTATGCCCTTTGAACTGCATGCCATTCTGAGTAGCACTAGGAAATCTCCCACCACCTGGGAAATGAGTCACACGTGCTGTGTACACTACCTACCCATGATAGCCACCTCAGTATCAGACTCCCCGTCACAGTGGCATGTACTTGTATTCAGCTAACCTTTATTTTGCTTAATAATGGTCCTGAAGTACAAGAGGGAGGCTGGCAAGAACATTACATATACTGTTAAAAGTGTCCTATTTGATTATTATTGTTGTTAATCTCTTACTGTGTCTAATTTATAGATGACACTGCATCACAGGAACATATGTGTAGGTAAAAACATAATATACATACAATGTATATAGGGTCCTGGGTTTCAGTTACCCACTGAGGGTCTTGGACCATATCCTACATGGCTAATAGGGAACTATTATGTCATATAACTTTCAGGACGAGTTTACTAAAAACATGCTAGGCTTTAAGAAGTGGAAACCAAATTTACATGTAAAACTATAAACTATCAAGAAATAGTTAATTTTTTTCTCCTTCACAGTAGTGAGGGTTCCAATAAACCACTTTTTTTTTTTTTTTTTTTTTTTTTTGGTACCGAGGATCAAACTTGGGTCCTTGCGTTTTGCGAGGCAGGTGGTAGAACCACTGAGCTACATCCCCAGCCCTAAACCACTTTCTATACCAGTTTATTCTTCATAAATTATTACTGAGACATAATATTATTTGAACTTTTGAAAAATATAGTGCCACAGCTGGGGATGTAGCTCAGTGGTGCTGTGCCTGCTGATAAAAAATATAGCGCCCATTTTAACAGAATTTGTTTTAAATGAAATTTCACCTACCGTTTTTTTTTTTTTTTGTACCGAGGATTAGAACTCAGCTCCCTGCACTTGCAAGGCAGGAGGCGGAACCACTGAGCTACATCCCCAGCCCTATCTACAGTTTCTTATACTTGAAATCTTAAGAGAACCATTAAAACAAAGAAGTTGGTGATAAATTCTTACATAACTATCACAGATTCCAGGAAACAGACATTCAGAGATGAGTTAAGGCTACCCAGCAGCAGCCTTGTTATAAAACTCCACAAACCTCAAAATTGCAATTAGACTTTAGAAGGACCAAAACATTAATTTATACTGAGCCAACATTAGGAAAACGTTCCACTGCTGACATTTTCAGGTTCTTGGTTTTCCAAAGAATAATCAGCTGTGATGAACCAATAGCTAGGAATTCACTCTGCAAACCAACCTGGATAAGAAACCAAGCTGGCTGGCTGGCGCCAGAACAGGAAGGTGCAGGTGGGAGAGGGAGCAGCAGGCAGCACACAGAAACCCCTCCTCACGTCTGTGAAGTCTATGCAATTATTCTTTTCAAGGATGGTTTTTCCAATAGTTACCATATTCTCAACCCTTCTATGTGATCTCTTTTTAGATCTTTGCAGTTTCTGATGTGCTTCTTCTGGCACTACAAGATAATGATGCGGTAGGTGTTGCTGATTAGGAATCTCTGAAGCAAAACAGGTCTCCATTCTTGCAGTGCCTCCTGCCACCATACCACAGAACACATCGGGGTCACGGTCCTTTCCCAGCGGACGCCGCCTGAGTTTTCATTTTGAGATAGGGTCTTTCTAAGTCACTTAAATTGCCCGGGTTGGGCTTAGATTTTCGATCCTCTAGCTCAGCTGTGTTGCTGCCTGCCTCACAAGCCCAAGGACCCGAGTTCTATCCCTGGTGCCCACGCCAATTATCATTATTGTTTTTATTGTAATGAATGAATAACCACCAATTTCATGACATTCCCACAAAATACGACCAACACTTCTTATAGTCATATATGTGACTAATATAAGAATGTTATGAGACATCTGAAACAAAGCTAGGAAAGAAGATAAATCTCTGAGTGTGAATTTGGAAATCTAATTTTCATTTCAACTCTAGATTTTAAAAGCTTTTTTTCTCATGTGGGAAACACAATTAAATCTAAACAGTAGTTTCCTTAGTAAAGAATATTTACTTTATATTTAAACAACATATTCTTTCCCAGTGTAGAGTATCTGTCAATTAATTTGATCAGAAACACTCTTGGAGATTAATTAAGCTGTTACCCAGGTGGGATACGAAAGCCACAAACCTCTTCCACAAATTCCCTAGGCAGTGTTGGTTATGATTGTGTTAGTTTGAATTAGTTGATCAGTTACTGACTTGTGTATGGCTTGTAAGAAATGGGGCATCAGATATCAGTAGGGAGAGGGAAAGAAAGGGCACTTGGTAGCAAGGGAGTCAGAAAGGTGTCTCAGGGAAAGAGAGAAAGCACTCCTGGAGAAAACTGTCTCACATTTCCCAGATAATCTGGAGTGTTCACCCAGGTGACCTGATCCTAAGCGATATTCCAATGTGATAAGCAGATCTTGAATTCTAAATGCAATTAGAGATAACAAAAACTCTAGCCAGCTGAGAAACACTTAAGTAATTACTTTTCCCTTTTTGGTGTGGGAAAGTTATAGGCTGAATTTCTTATTGCTGCGAATGAGCTCTATTTATTGGGATTTTTTTTTCCTTCCGGCAGTTAAAAACCAGCAATCTACAGAAAAACAGTAGTATAATTATTATAATTAGTAGCTAAACCAAAATTGATATGTTAAAGTCATTTACTGTAATTTGTAATAAAGATGTGTGTTTTAATTCCTTTTGTTAGAATACAGATTCAAATTATTTTTAAAAACTCTGTTATTTTCTATCTTCGATTCTGAAAAATGGGCTACAATTGGGTTCAAAACCTGAGAACGTAATATAAAATCGAGTATTGAGGAATGGCACATGCCCATATTTCTTCCTTTTTTTTGGGTACTGGAGGATGAACCCAGGACCTTCACACTGAACTATATTGAACTATACATCTCCAGTCCTTTTCTTTTTTTATTTTGAGATAGGGCCTCATTAAGTCATTAAGTTGCCCAGGTTGGGCTCCAAATAATGCTTCTCCTGCCTCGGCCTCCCAGAGTGTTGAGATTATAGGTGTGCACCACCGCACCCAGCAAATGTCCATATTTCTGTCTATTTCAAATATGTGCAGGGATGCCAAAGACTGACAAGAAAGCAAATAAGTCACATAAGTGTAGACACCGATGAGTCTATAAACATGTGCTCAAATTGCAGAGCAGAGGAGCTCAAACAAAAACACCCTCTATATTAAGGGCTTGTTTGCATCACTGAAGGAAGGAAGCATTTTTTTTTTTAAGAAAAAACATCATATGGGGATAAAATTGCTTAGTTAGTGATTTCCAAGCTCCATGTCAAGTCTGAATCCTCAGTAGTCTGAATCTACCGACGTGAATGCTAGAAGGGAGTTTTCCCCAACAGCACAGGAGCAGGGAACCACAGAGATTAAAGAGTAGTTTGTGGTGTGGTTACCTGCTCATTCCCCAGAGTCCAGCAGACTTAGATTTGAATCCTACCTTTGGCACTTAGCAGCTACAACTAAACAACGTGTGTAATAACTTGCATTAGTTAATGTCCCTTTGCCTGCTTCCTGACCTGCAAATGCAGTTAATAATTGTATCTGGCATGAGGTTGTTAGATCTCCCTTGCCTTAAGATGGCTGTCACATAGAATAGCAGCCTCCATGTTAAAATATGACTTCTCGCAACAGAGAACAGGCTTCTTCTTTGCGCTAGGTCTCTTCTCCCACCAAGAGTAACCTGATACTTGCTACCTCCTGGCAGCTAGTGATGTCACAGGCCCCTCCTAGTGATGTCACAGGCCCCTCCTAGTGATGTCACAGGCTCCTCCAATCTCTTAATATTACCTCACTCAACTCCACCCCAGCTCAGGCTAACCCCACTCCTCTCCTACAAAAGAAGCTCCCTGTTCTGCCATGTTACTTTTTCTCCTTTGTTCGGAGACAGCCTGGCAGATCCTCCCCATTATAAAGGCTTGTTATGATTCTGGTCCAGTCCTGGTTTTCAGCTCTTTTTAACCTAATGTATCTGGTGCCAAAACCCGGGAGGAAAGCAGTTGATTAAGCGACGATCCCCCGTAAGCCAGGGTCAATTGGTTTTTTGGCCACCTCCTCCGGACCACATCTCCTGAGCCAGGACCTCCTAAGGGCTTTCTACCTTTGCCAATGTTGACGACTCACATCCACACCCGTCACTGATTTCAGGGTGAGTAGGTGGCTGGCTTCCCCCTATTTGGGTCCTCTGTCTCAGTCTCATTCTCTCCCTTCGGGGACCTCTCAGAAAATCTAAGCGCTTGGTCAGAGAGATCCCTCAGGCTGCTAGGCCCAGGACCACGCACCCGGGACGCCCCATCTGCCTGACTCCTCTCATCCTCCCCTTCTGGGGACTGGCTCGGGGAGTGTCAGAAGAGACGAAGATATTCCTCTCTTTTTTCCTCCTCCTAGGGAGCTACCTCCTTCTCACCCACCCTAACATGGGTGTCCAACAATCTAAACTCCCTCCTTCCATGCCTCTTGGCTGCCTCCTGGCACAACTTCGTTCCCTTGGATTGTTGGAACCTGACTTTAGGTGAAACAACTCATTTTTTATTGCAACCAAGTTTGGCCTTAGTCCAAATTAGACAATGAGTCTCAATGGCCAGAAAATGGCACTCTTGATTTTAACACATTGAGTGACTTGTGCAACTTTTGTCAACGTAGTGGCAAATGGTCAGAAATCCCCTATCTACAAGCCTTCTTTTTCCTCCACTCTCACCCTTGTCAAAGTTGTTCATCCTCTCAGGTACTTGTAGCCCAGGCTCCATCATCCACCCCTCCTGACCCTACCCTTCCTGATTCTGACATGTTCAGTCCAGCTGATCACTTTTCACTCACACCTCCTCCTCCTCTTCCTCCTCACAACCCAGACAGTTCTGCCTCTTTGGATGCCTCATCAGCTCCACCATCTTGTGCCTCTTCCTCTTCCTCTCCTCTGCCATCTTGTGCCCTTCTCCAGCTCCGCCATCTTGGGACCCTCCCTCACCTCCACCATCTTACATCTCTTCACCTCACACTCATTCTCGCTACTCCAACCTTCCAGCTTTGGCCCCAACCACACAGATGACTCTCTGAGAGGTCACTGGCGCTGATGGCATTGTTAGAGTACATGTTCCTTTCTCTTTCTCCAACCTTACTCAAATTGAAAACATTTAGGCTCCTTTTTCTGTGATCCTGATGTCTATATTAAAGAGTTTTGCTACCTTACTCGATCCTATGATATGACTTGGTGGGATATCTACATAGTTCTTTCAACTACTCTTTCCTCAGAGGATCACCAGAGAGTCTGGAGGGCAGCCCAGGCAGCAGTAGATGACTTCCATGCCACAGACCTGAACAAATTAGTAAGCACACAGGCAGTTCTAGATATACAACCTGACTGGATTTATCAGATAATGACCCAGGAAGACCTAAGAGATCATATGATTGTTTATGTCATGAAGGACCTTAAAAGGATCTCTCAAAAGACAGCTAATTTTGATAAGGTCAGGAAATAATCCAGGGACCCCAGAGAGATCCAGTTTGGTTTCTTTCTTGATTGGCTGATGCCCACCAAAAATATACTAAATCAACCCCACATCCCAGGTGGGCACAATTGTTATTGATATTCATTTTATTGCACAATCTGCCCCTGATATCAGGAAGAAACTTAAAACATAGAAGAAGGTACACAGGCTTTGCAGACTGAACACCTCAATATTGCCTTTAAGGTATTCAATAATTGTCAGGAATAGGCAAAACCACAAGAGTTGGCTAATTACCAGATGCTGGCAGCAGCCCTACAGGGTAAACCATTTTTTTTACAAGAGGACATCCTCTCGTGGTGGCCTTGACCCTGGAGTTTGCTTTAAATGTGGACAGACTGGACACTGAGATAACAAATGTCCCAATCCTAGACCACCACCTGGCCCTTGTCCTACCTGCAAACAGATCACTGGAGGGTTGCCTGTCCCCTTTGCCAAAAAGGTGAGAGGCCATCCCCTTCTCAAGCCCAACCAGCAGGTACAGAGACGTCTCTACCGAGCTCATCAGCCTGGTGACAGACGCTTGATGGTGCCCAGGGACGTCTATAGCCCTCCATGGCCATCACTTCCAACGAGCCCAGGGGAACTGTCAGTCTCAGGTAGGCCTGTCTCATTTTTGCTGGACACGGGAGCTGCATACTCGGCCTTATCACAATATTCAGGCCCCATTGTCCCTCCTCAATAACTATCGTGGGGTTCAAGGGATTCCTTCAAAACCACTGACTACCTCTCCTCCAGTTTGTTCTCTGTTAGCAGCACATTTTCACACAGCTTAATTATTCCTAGCTGTCCTTCCCCCAACTTAGGAAGAGACCTCCTAACCAAATTCAAGGCCTCTCTCATTCTACACCTGGTCAATTTAGACCCGACAGGCGTCTTGCTCCTTCTAGCTGCCTGCCTGATTTCTCAGTCCCCAACCCAGCCTCATTTCCTTCTATGATCCCTTATACTGACCGCTCAGCCTGGGACACCTACACCCCTTCTGTTGCTAAACACCACTCCATTCAGGTCTCCCTCAAGGATACCACCCAATTCCCAAATGTCCCACAGTAGCCCATAGCCTTGAGACACCTAAAAGGGCTAAAAGCTATAATCAATATAATCAAAAATCTATAATCAAAGGACTAGCATATAATCAATGGCTTACTTGATAAGGGACTTCTCAGACCAACTCACTCCCCCTACAACACATCCATCCTCCCAGTCCTAAAACCAAACGGCTCCTACCGGTTGGTACAGGACCTAAGGGCTGTATCTAATTCTGCTGTACTTCCTATACCCCCAGGAGTTCCCAGTCCCTACACTCTATTGTCTCCTATTCCTTCTTCCTCGAGGTCTGTTTTAGACCTCAAAGATGCCTTTCTCACTATCCCCCTATCCCCCAACTCACAAAACCTCTTTGCATTCACGGGGACTGACCCAGGTACAGGGCATTTCCAACACCTTACTGGGACAATTCTCTCACAGGGTTTTCGGGATAGCCCACACTTCTTTGGACAGGCATTAGCTGCTGAGCTCTCAAAATGAGATCTGTTTTCCTCTAAACTACTTCAGTATGTAGATGACTTACTCTTGTGACAGCCCACCCTTCATTTCTCCCAACAACACACAACCCTATTACTTAACTTTTTATGGAAAAAGGGGTATCAGGTCTCAAAGGATAAAGCCCAACTCTCCCAACTTACAGTACAACATCTCGGGGTAAAGATTTTATATCAACAATGGGAAATCACCCTAGACCATAAACAGCTCATTCGAGATCTTCCAGTCCCCTCCTCTAAAGCTGAGATTCTGTCCTTCCTGGGGCTTGTGGGCTTCCTTTCTTTATGGATAGCCAATTTCAGTCTACTTGCTACACCCCTCTATGAGGCTTAGGCTTCTAAAGGGAACCCAATGAGCCTATAGATGACAAGACCATCAAGGGACCTTTCCTCAGACTTCAGGCTGCCATCCTCTCTCCCCCGCCTTAGCTCTCCCAGACCTCCAAAAATCACTCACTCTCTATGTCCCTGAACGAGCAGGACTAGCTTTGGGAGTACTGGGACAAATCACTGGGTCACACTTCACCCCAGTAACTTACCTATCTAAACAGCTTGGCCACACTGTCCAGGGCTGGCCCACGTGTTTATGCACCCTGGCAGCCACTTCTCTCCTCACCCAAGAAAGCTCTAAACTAACTTTTGGTCAACCAACAACAGTAAAGTCACCCCCTCGCTTACATGACTTGCTCACTCACCATAGTCTCTCACATCTGTCCCCTTATCGGTTACAACTCTTCCTTGCTACTTTCATAGAAAACCCATCCTTCTCTCTTCAGTCCTGCCCTCTCTTAACCCAGCCTCACTCCTCCCTAGACCATTCAGACGCCCTCCCACTCATGCACAGAAATGATCAAAAACCTACTTCCTTCCCTTCTAATGTATCATCAGAGGCCGTCCCAGACCCAGAATTCACATGGTTTACTGACGGCAGCTTGATTCCCACTCAGGTACCCGGCCAGAAGCGGGCAGGATATGCCGTAGTCTCTTGAACACAGACAGTTGGGCCAATCCACTTCCACTCGATGCCATCTCACAACAAGCATAATTAATTGCTCTCCCTCAGGCTCTCACTCCGGCCCACAACAAATGGGGTAACATTTACACTGATTCTAAGTATACGTACCACGTCCTACACTCTCACCATTCAATATGGAAGCAAAGAGGTTTTGTGACCACGAAAGGGACCCTTATTGTTAATGGACATCTAATATGTGCCCCCCTCCTCCAAGCAGCCACTTTCGCAACACAGGTAGGCATAATTCACTGTAAAGGACATCAATCCTCTTCTTCCACCATAGCTCAAGGAAACCAAAGGGCCGATCAAGTGGCCTATAAAATGGCACAAAAATCTACTCTCCAAAGTCAAAACCAAATGCTGATCATTGCACCTCTAAAACGTAGTTACACCCCTCAGGGAAGGCCAAATATACAGACAAAGGTGCTACATTGAGGGATGACTGGCTCTTATATCGGGGACACCATGTCATACCTGACAACCAGGTCATATCTCTTTCACTGACGTACATAGTTCACTCCACATAGGGACCCAACCCCTCCTACACCTTCTCAGGCCTTTCCTACACCACCCATCCCTAGCAACACACATATAGACAATAGCAGGCTTGCCCCATCTGCTCAGTCACTAGTCCCCAGGGTGGCCTTCATACACACTCAGAAACTCACCCATCCAGGGGACAGCGACCTGGGGAAGGCTGGCAGGTTGATTTTACACATATGCCCCCTATAAGGAATGGGCCTCCTAACCTTGGTAGATACTTTTAAAGGATGGACAGAGGCATTTCCATGTACATCGGAAGGAGCAGCTGCTGTAGTTCATTTATGTTTTTTTTTTAGTTCATGTATTTTTTTTTCTTTTTTTGAGACAGGGTCTCACTATGCAGTTGAGACTGGAACTCATTATGTAGCCCAGACTGGTCTCGAACTCACAGCGATCCTCCCGCCTCAGCCTCCTGAATGCTGGGATTGCAGGCGTGCACCACCATGCCTGGCAGTTCATGTATTCTTAATGGAAATCATTCTATGCTTTGTTCTCCCATACTCCATTCAGTCTGACAATGGCCCTGCCTTTGTCTCTCAGTTTACCCAACAGGTCACAGAGGCACTCAACATACAATGGAAACTCCGCATCCCTTATGAGCCACAATCATCAGGCAAGGTTGAATGGGCTAATGGGCTAATTAAGACTCAACTAAACAAACTCTCAATAGAAGTAAAACAAATTTGGATTACCCTCCTCCCTTTGGCTCTCATGTTGCTATGCTCAACTCCCCGAAAACCATTACACTTAACCCCCTTTGAACGGATGTACAGGTGACCCCTCCTGTTTCCCACCTTACCCAGTCCCTCACCACCCCTAACCAACTATGCCCCAACACTTAATTATGCTCGTCGCCTCCTTCAGACTCTGGCAGATCAAACTCTCCCCTCCCCTGACTCATCAGGTGCTCCGCTATCTCCTTCTCTTTCCCCAGGAGACCCAGGGTATCTTAGACCCTTTCTCCAAAACCTCTCCAACCGTGCTGGGAGGGACCTTTTACTGTTTCCCTAACTACTCCTACAGTGGTTAAGCTTAAGAAAAAGGTTCCCTGGTTTCACCTCTCAAGAATAAAAAGAGCTCCTCCAGCTCTCCAGACAGACCAATTTAAACAGCAACCTGAAACTCCCAGGTACACTCTTCTGTTCTCACAGGACCTACCAAGCTCAAACTGTTCCATACCCTCCCACAGATTCCAGAAGAAGACACTTCCTGTCCAAGAGCCCCTCTGCCTGCTGGCTTTAGGCCCACACTTCTCCTGCCTCTCTTGGACGTTTCTAATTCCACCCATGTGAAGCCTCACATGTGGACTTTCCTATCAATCTGGTGACTGTCCCTTCCGTGCCCGCATAACTTACTGGGAAAAAGACACATGGAACTGAAAGGTAAACACTGTCCTTACCTCAATGCTGCCTATCCACTGAGCCACTCCACTCCTAAATGACTGGCATACAAGAGATCTACTACACAGGCCCTGATACGATGGTTGTGATCTGGCCCTGTTTTTCTGGCAATGGAGTCACCCACTTTCACTCCTATCTCTTGGTACATCTCTTCTGTCATCCCCACACACTCCCTCCAGGTACCTTCCAATAACCTTCAAGACCTGCCAAGAGACCTTCAAAACCGGTTAATAGTTACGTATATAATGTCTTGGAAGTACTGACATTCCAGGACATTGTCCTGGAATACAGATGCCCCTCAACTGTCTCTCCACTCGTTCCTAACAAATGGTTCTCCAGCAAAAAAAGTCTGAAAATTTTCTATGAGGATCTCCACAGTCTGCTTCCTGCTGAAGACCCTAAGGGGCCTTCACCCCAATCACTTCTAGTGTTGGCCCTGAAGACAATATTTAATCCCCTAAGAAAGGAAGCCTTTTGGTGATATCACTGTCCTGCTCTCTGGTCTCAATTCAAACACATGCGCTGTCATTTACTCAGGGGAACAGTGCACTCTCCCTTGTTCTTCTGTCTCTTTTAAAGTAACCTACAATGCCTTCATCCCACATTTTAGCCTCGGTCCTCATCTCAGCCCCCAGGAAATACAGATGCACCTTTCCTACATGCCAGTCCCAGGCCTTTCTCGACTGCGTCCTTGAAGACATCACTTGGTTCTACCACAGGAGGATACCCCAAAAGCTACTCTGCAGTGGAGAGAAGACCTCGGGTTTCAGGGAACACTGGCTGGGTTTTTGTGTTTGGAGATAGAGCTCTTTTCTCCTTTTCTGCCTATACTTACCCCTCCACCGCCTCAATATTCCCTCTGCTCAAGGGCCACTCATGGGATACAACTCTGCTCTAACAACCAAGGAGCCCCTCCATTTCCCCGCCATTTCTTATGTCTTGCCTGGCTATTAGCTACCGGGTTCCTGTTGGGCATTGGCTTAGGAGCAGTGTCTCTAAAACCTTGGAGTCTTTCTCAGAAATATCCTTGCATAATTGTATACTGGATTATCAGTTTTTGTTTTGCTGATTTACATTGCTTATCCTAACAGAGGGGAATACAACTGAGCCAGGGGACCTATCAGGACACTGGACATTCCAGGTACAGTTTCATGAAACGAATCCCCCTATCATCATCAACCAGTCTTGCTGGGACTCTTCCCATGCCGAAGTCAGTCTATTTTGATTCATGCCCGGAGAAAGTCAAAGGCCATTGGTGGTCAACCGGATGCACAAACTTAAACACAGAATGCAATAACCAAAAAAAGAAAAAATACTTTTGTGCAGAATGGAACAGCCCATAAATGATTATTGTAGATCCCAGGGTTTTTTCTGGTTGCTACGCGCGTCTGGGACCAAGTTGTAAATGTCACCCTATCAGCACAAGAGGATGTAACACCCCTAGAGGACATTACTGCACTAAAGGGATGTCTTTCTATAGGGAATACCAGGGAGAAATAAACTCCCCCTTACTGGCCCTTTCAACACCACCAAATTGTTTACAGTGGACCTGCAACCCAGTGGTTTATACTTTTGGAGACCGCCAAGACCCCAGCTGGGCTACAGGATACCACGGGGGCATTTGGGTCCAGCCAGAAAGTCGCTGACAGAGCCATCCAGGACAGCTCTTTACCATAAAAAAGGTCTGGCACCCTCCACCACAAATAAAAATACCATGACCCTGACCTCAGATGGCCCCCTACCCCCCCCCAGACACCAGAGCCAACACATAATAATTCATAGACTGTCCAAACAAGGCATTTTTCTAAACTCATACCTGGTATCCTAAATTCCACCCATGGCATTCTGCAGGCAGTAAACCCATAGCTAGGACATGACTTCTGGTTATATGTACCACTTACAAAACTATTACAGGGCCTTAGGGATAACAGTGCCAAATCTTCTCCTGGAAAGTTACTTCAGCCTCAGTCAAGGTCTGGGGAAATGCATCATGCTTAAGGGGGGCAGGCTGCACAATAGAGGTAACTGCCTCTCGTCTTGAATCCAAAAGGTCCCCAGCAGTTCACTAGTGCCTCCATCTGGAACCTTCATAATATGCTATGATGGGATTTATTCCTCTTTCACAAGTGCCACTGTGGGACTATGTGATACAGCCTTCCTAATCCCAGACACTGATGTATATCCTGGAGAAGGGGGACTGTCTCCTCCTACTCTCACCTGGGAAAAAAGGGATCCCTTGAATCCTACCCATTTTGGCAGGAATTGCTAGAGCAGGAAGTGTAGTGGCAAGTGTCACTGCACTAGGGCTAGGACAAAAACAGCTTACAGGTCTGGGCTACCAAATTCGTTCAGAGCTTGATGCCACACAAGAGGCCATTAATAACCTACAGCAACAGGATAGACTGGTGGAAGTGACACTCCTGAATAGAAGGGCCGTTGATATCCTCACAGCAGAACAGGGAGGAACCTGTGCTTTTTTTTTTTAGGGAGAAGAGTGTTGCCGTTATGCCAACAAATCCGGAGTGGTAAGAGAAATTACACGTCAAATGAGGGAAAGGCTAAAGACTCAACGGGCCAGGCACGCCCCCCGCAAGCTACTAATCAATGGTAGGATACATTTGGTTCTTGGAGCTCATGGCTTCCCTGGCTATTACCATTCTTACGACCCCTCAGTATTATCTGTCTGATCTTCTGCTTTGGACCATGCTTGTTTTGCTGTTTTCAAAATTTCTTGCAGGAAGGCGTGAGGGCATTTACCAATCAGACACTCACGGAACTCGTCACGGCGGGGTACCAGCCTCTGCAGCAGAGGGAAGAACCCCTCACCTACTGCTGCTCCCACCAGATCCAGGTTTATCCCCAACCTTCACCCCTTTGTCAGCTTGAAGCAGCTCCAGAAGAAGAGAACTTCGCAAATAGCCATAAAACAAATAGCCTGGAATGTTAGATCTCCCTTGCCTTAAGATGGCTGCCACATGGAATAGCAGCCTCCATGTTAAAATATAACCTCCCAACAGAGGACAGGCTTCTTCTTCACATCAGGTCTCTTCTCCCACCAAGAGTAACCTGATACTTGCTACCTCCTAGCAGCTAGTGATGTCACAGGCCCCTCCTAGTGATGTCACAGGCTCCTCCAATCTCTTCATATTACCTCACTCAACTCCACCCCGGCTCAGGCTAACCCCACTCCGCTCCTATAAAAGCAGCTCCCTGTGCTGCTATGTTGCGTTTTCTCCTTTGTTCGGAGACAGCCTGGTAGATCCTCCTTATGAAAAGGCTTGGTATGGTTCTGGTCTGGTCCTGGTTTTGGGCTCTTTTTACCTAACAGAAACAAATTTTAACTCTACAGTCATAATTGGTAACTGTCTTCCCTCCTACTGTTGTGAAGTTGGAAAAGGCAGACTTTAAGGCAGATCATAAAATACATTATTAATGACTTATTGACAAATATGTGTTGAATCAAGTCTGCTATTAACACTGTGTGTGTCTGAAAACAAATTCACATCATAATACCAAAAATTAAAAATCTCTATCTTCATATAAGACATTTCTAACAATATAAACTATCTTTATCTTCTACCATAAAGACTTTTTCTGGGAGCTGGCGGGGAGAAATACCAAGAAGAAGAAGAAAAAGAAGAAGAAGAAGTAGGAAAAGGAACACAAGATGGGGAGGAGGTAAGGAGGAAAAAAGAATACACCAAATATATCCCAGAATTAGATCTATGGTATGATTTTAGTAGCTAAAAACAAAAAGAATTGGGCTTCTTGCTACTAGATTGATTCCCTCTTCTAAGCAACATGGGGATATCTTCTCTTTTTTTCTTCTCTCTTTTTCTTTCAGCATCAAGCTAGACCCCCTGTTCTTTTTATATCTTCTTTTCTTTTTTTGGTACTGGGGATCAAACTCGGGACCTTGTGCTTGCAAGGCAGGTGGTGGAACCCCTAAGCTAAAGCTCTGGCCCTATATTTTTATTTTGAGACACAGTCTCAGTAAGTTGCTCAGGCTAGGCTTGAACTCTCCCACCATGCACCACAGTGCCCAGCTGATATTGTCAAGCTGGAAAAAAATGAAACTACTTATGGAGCCAGACTGAGCAGGCATGTCTGAAACCTTGTCTATCACCTGTTGGTCTCCAGAGCCCCCCAGTACTAAGAGCTCTGTTTATTCACTCTGTCCACAGTACTCATGAAATAGATCATAAGCAGGTTTACAAGAATACCGAAGTAACAGGGCCTACATAAAGGCACCTCTCCTACACATAAACCCAAGGAGTTACGGCAAAGGCCTACTTCTATAGCAGCTTGCAGGCCTGAGGGCTGAACCCAAGGAATCTTTCTCAGGCTCACTGAGGTTCCAGGGTGTCCTCTTTGTTCTTATAAATGCAGCAGAATTGGCTGAAGTGGCTGGAGTGGGGAAGGAGCCCTGTGCAGCCTTGTTGCACTCACGTTGGGGTGAAGAATGGCCAGCAGTTTGATAGCCAGGGAAAAGACTGAAGCAAACCGTCACAGTCATTTGAGGCACACGGGGAGCAAAAGGACAGATAGACAGCCACTTGCCAAGTCACACTCCCCCATAGCCAGCGTGGGGACAAATAAGTGAGCCAGACATTTCTCTGTCTCTAAAGAGCTGGAAGATAAAAAAGAGGTGGCGAAGTTACTAGGAAGCAGGAATTGTTTATAAAGGAAAGCAAAGAAATGGCAATGCAAAACCCAAGCCAGGCAGGCAGGCATAACAGGTGAAAGGTTCTGGGGGTGCAAGTTTCATGGATGAGGATTTCAGCTCACTGTTGTTTTCTAGTGACATCCCGTCAGATGGTTTTTAAGTAACTAGAACCCTAAGGATGTCAAATTGTAACTCTAGAGCACTGTTTCTCAACCCTGGCTGCAATTAGGGGTTTTTAAAAATACCAATGCCAAGGGTTCCAGCCCCAGGCCAATTAAATCATTCTCTTGGGGTGCAGCCCAGTTCTCAGTGTTCTTTAAAAGCTCCCACAAGTGAATTTAATGTGCAGTGAAAGGTGGGACTTACTAGGCTAGAGGGGAGTATCTGCTGTACACTGCGCTCAAACTTCAATGCTCAGAGGAATCACGTACAGGATCTTATTAAAATGCAGATCTTCCTCTCTCTCTCTCTTTCTTTCAATGGTTTTGGGGATTGAACCCAGAGTCTTCCCATTGAGTTACTTATTTCTTTGTTACTTTGAGACAAGGTTTCCATAAATTGTCCAGGCTAGGCTTAAACTTGTTCTGCTTCCTCAGCCTCCTGAGTGGCTGAGGTTACAGGCATATGCCACCATGCCTAGCAAAAAAGTAGGGTTTTAATTAGTAAATCTGGGTTGGAGTCTAAGATTCAGAACTTATAATAAATTCCCAAGTAACATTATTAGGGTTAAGCACCAGACCATCTTTAGAGTAATAAGGCTCCTGGAGAATGCTACAACATTCTCTTTCTGGCCCTTTTCTGTTCAGAAATTTATATGTGATTAAGATCTACATAAATGACTATTAAAAGTGATTGTACAGAAAAAGAAACAGCAAACAATTGTAGAATTAAGATTCAAAACTGTTTCCACAAGCTGAAATAAACAATATGAAATTTATTTCTAGGCCAAGGCATGCCTATAATCCCAGCACTCGGGAGGCTGACCAGTAGGACCACCGAAAGTTCAAGGCAGCCCGGGCTACATAGTGAGATCAAGACCAGCCTGTACTACACACGGAGATCCTGTCTCAAAAAGCAAAAAACAAAAAAAAAGAAAAAAAATTATTTCTTAGAAGGGACAACTTAAAGTCTACCATATAAGTATAATGATTCTGAAAAAAGAAAGAAGATACTAAAATATACTGTATTATAAAGTGTTATGGCCTGTATCTAGATGTGCCCCCAAAGCCTCATGCAATCACAGATGGGGCTTTTTAGAGCTAGCTGGATCTATAGTGTGATTCTGGGATTAAAGGTGTGATGATGAGATTAAGGATGCCCCTGGGTGGAACTGCCCAGAAGGTGGGTAGCCTAGATGGATTATAAGGACACAGAAAGAAGTCAGGTTGCTGCTGCTTCTGTTGCTGCTGCTGCTGCTGCTGCTGCTGCTGCTTGATACCTTCTGCCTGCCTTGCCATGCCATGGACTGTTTCTCCTCTGCAATGGCTCTGGGCCATGCTGCCCTGCTTTAGAACCAGATGACTAGGAACTGAAACCTGTACAACTGTGAGCTGAAATAAACCTCCTTTAACTTGTGGGTGTGGGGTATTTTTTCTCAGCAATGACGTAAACATAAAATAATAATAATTAATTAAAACATAAACTAATAATAATTTCAAAGTTGGTAATGGCTAACAAATACACAGATTAATTAAACTGAAGAGTAGAGGGAATTTGAAATATGATAAAAGTGGCTATTTAATGGAGTAAGATTATTCAATTAATCAAATTCAATAAAAGAAAGGCAAGAGAACCCCTGAATGCTGTAAGCAGAGATTGATGAGCAATTCAGGTAGGAGCTCAGAGAATCAGAATGCTGATAAAAATATGAACAATAAAGACTATACTCATGAATTTTCAGATAGGAATGAGGTTCTATTACGAATTTGATTAGAGACCATGCATGTTGCATTTTTGGAAAGAATTTGTCTACGTTATTTGCTTCCTAAAACTTTGTGTGAAGCTTAGTGTAAAAGTAATGGACTAATTGATACAGTGGAGAAAATTTCAAGGAAGCCTAATAATAAGCCCATGGCATGGGTACTGCTAGCTGCTTTTAGCCAGACTTTCAGTGGAAATAAGGAGCAAATAGCAGAGCAGAAAGATCTGAAAAACTTTCAGTTTGGCCAGAAAAGAAACATATAAAGTTAGGATTAAAGGAGGTATGGTTGCTGAAGAAATTAGTGCCATTAAAAAGAAACCAAATACTTTGAACTGGGACAAGATGTCTTAAGAGCAGCTCAGGAATCAGCAAGACCTCGGGCTAGAGGACGTAAAAGTGTAAAGTTGTTGAAATGACTTAGGTTTGAGAAGAGAGCCCCAGGGTACCCTGCTCACTCAAGGCTGCCTAGTAAAGTGTTTCCTCGTATTCAACCATTCAGGCACTTAAGAGTCCACTGCAGCTGTGGTCCACAGGGGCCTGGCTACTGCTTGCACTAATGGCATACCTTGGCATTGTTCATGTGATGCTAGTTTTATAGGCATGTAAAAGGCAAGGGCTGTGGGGTCATAGAAGCTTCCACCCAGACTTCGAAAGAAGGCCTGGAAGGCCACACAATATGTCAAAAGGTCCTGCTCAGAGCCTCTGAGAAGTCATTGCATGAAGCTGTGGAAATGAATCCAAAGCTGCAGTGGAGACTCTAGGAAGTTGGAGATGTTAGAAATGTGAAACATCTGCTGAGGAAAAGACGCTTTGGTGCTGTTTGAAAAGTTTTATCCTTGGGAAGAAGCAGCTATCTTTGTGTGAGGGGCTATCTTCTAGAGGGCTGCCACTACTCTGCCTCTAGCCCTCCAGCCCATTTTTGTTTGTTTTTGTTTTAAGAGAGGGTCTTGCTATGAGTTCAGACTGGCCTTGAATTCATTATGTAGCCCAGGCTGCCCTTGAACTTGAGGTTAGGATTACAGGCATGGGCCACAAAAAAAAAAAAAAAAAAAAAAAAATGGCTCAAGCTAAGGTCATGTGGGCTGCAGCTGGGAAGGACAAAGGAAGGTGGCTGCACAAGCCCTATGGAACTCACCTCATGCCACCATGTACCCTAGATTCAGGGCATGGAGCTACAGGATTTAATATTTGCCCTGTTGGGATTTAGTTTTGCTTTGGTCTGATTCATCTGTATTCCCCTATTCCACCCTTTTATGATGGGAATGTTTAGCCAGTGCCACTGTGTCTTGACATTATTTGACTTTTTTTTTTTTTAAACAAGGACTCACAGCTCAGAGCTGTCTTAAGTCTCAGAAGAGACTTTGGACTTAAATTTTAAGTAATGCTGGAACTTCTGGGACTATGAGGAAGGAATTACAGCAGTACATTTCAGTTGTACAAATGTATACCTGACACAAGCCACAACCAACATGAACAAACCTTGAAAACATTAGCCTAAATGAAAGAAGCCAGTCCTAAAAGGTCACATTCATACAGAATATCCACAAGAGGAAAATCCATAGAGGTGGAAAACAGATTGGTGATCTCAAGTGGCAGGAAAGGGGAATTGGTAGCAACTGCTAATGAGCATGGGGTGAAGAGAATGCTTTGTAATTAGAGAGTGGTGATATTTGCATAAGTTAATGTATATACTAAAGTATATTGAATTGTACACTTTAAAAGTTAAATTTTATGGTATGAGATTTTTCTTCCTCTGCAGTACTAAGGATTAAACCCAGGGCTTTTCCAATGACTTACATCCTCAGCTCATTCTTATTATTATTTGTTTTAAATTTTGAGATGGGATCTTGCTAAGTTATTAAATTGCCCATATTGGGCTTAAACTTGCAATCCTACTGCTTCAGCCTCTAAGAGTGCTGGGAGTACAGGTGTGCACCACCCATGTCTGGCTATGGTATATGAATTTTATCTCATTTTCAAAACAGTGTTTATCAGAATTTTGTCAGAAGAACATCATTAGTGGCCTTGACAACAGTAGCTTTAGAGAAATGTTAGTGGCCAGATTGTTTGCAGGGGGCCAAAGAATAGGTG